TTACTTTTTTTACTATGAAGGCAACCCCATTTTTTCTTGTCTTTTCATCTCCGGAGTAATATATCATATGGTCATATAATAATGATAAAACACTATTCCTCTCTTTCTTTTAATAGTAGCAATTAAAATCAGATTTTTATTTCATTTTTGTCTTTTATTTTTTATTAATTTTAGTGAATGTTTACAGAGACTTAGGGTTTCCAATCATTCATTCTTATTAAAACTGACCTTCTTCATCTTGGAAAACCACTTCAAAGTTCTTGCTCTAATCTGAGATGGTTTTCAAAGACTGGAAAGAAGAGAAAGAAAGGAAGTGGTCAGAACACTGGCTAGCATCCTCGAGGTGTTCAAGAAACAAGGGCATTGCTAACGGCCATTTAAGGAGCCTCTGATGCTCTGATGAGATGCAGTAATCAGAAATAAGCCTGAACACTATTACTTTCGATTTATAAAGGATTTATGGCCAGGAGTAAGTTTTTAAAAAATAATAATTTGCTTTTATACCATCGCTTTAAAGTTGAAAATCATCTTCTGGAAAGGTAAAGGTCTTTTCTCCAGTCTCCATTTTAGTAATGAGAAAACTTGTATGAAAAAGTAAATATTGCTCAAGTCAGCAAGCTGTCATCAGGAGAACCAGGAATACTTTCATTCAATCAAATAAATAAAATAACAAGGGAAAGCCAGGCACTTTCAAGAAGTAGAGTCTATCCCTCGATATCTTTATCTACAAGGCTGGGCTTGGACAGGAGGCCGGGCCACACCGAGAATGTGGCTGAGAATAGGGGTGTCCAGGCATAACAATCAGAGCCAAACATCACAAAGCCTTTGGACAGGGACCAAGCTTGCTCACTCTCTGGGAATGTGTGGCCAGTGCCAGGGTCTGTGTGGTGGAGACAGACACACATCAGGTGTTCCTCGTCCATCAGATCAGAGGAACAACAAAAATTACTTCCTTTTAACAACAGCTCTTCTATGCCACGGAGTCAAGAACAAGAAGTTTCGGGGAGCTCTGGTGGCCTAGTGGCAAGAAGCTGCACTGCAATCCCAGAGGAACATGGTTTGAATCCACCAGACGCTCTGCCGGAGAAGGAGGCGCAATATCCTCCTGTACCAGTCAGATCTGATTTGACGGTACACACATACAAAATAATAAAATTTTTTAAAAAAAAAAACTTTAAAAAAAAAAGAACAAGAAGTTTCTGCTGTATAACTATTTACACCTGGCCTACTTAGGAGTCCCATGAGATTTCTCAGGTCTTAAGAGCTCAGTGCAGAAAAGCCAGTGTTAACTAGTCTCTCCCCTCAGAGATACACCTCCCATATACCTCTGCCCCAGGCTAAATGTAATCAAACAAGCAGAGTAATAGACTTTACGGATATATTTAAAGAGAAATTTCGGCTATGAAGGAAGAGCACCTGGAGAACATACAAAAGTCTAAAAAGGTTCTTATGTGAGAAAACTAAATAGCTGATAATGATGAACTTTACCCACCGATTCCAACAAGGAGTGTCTGTTGACTTTCAAGGTGACTTTGGAATGGGGTCTTTTCATATGTGTTTGCCGTAGCTCCCTCTGGAAAAAGTTCACCTTGTCCTGGAAGGTCTCAGAGCCTCCTGAGGGGCAGCAAGAGCCATCATGGTTAGAGCCTCCTCGGGCCAGTGACTCCCCATCAAGCGCCCAGCGTGGCTGCCTTCCACATCACCACATCTGTGCAACCTTACCTATGTTCTTATGGAGGGAGCGGATGAATGTGGCTGCTAGAATGTTCCTCTCCTTACAGCTGAGCTCCACGGGAGGCTGGATGCCATCATCTACCACCAGAGTGAGGAGCTTATGGACGGGGTCAGGGCCAAGGTACGAAAACTAGCAAATGGGGGAAAAGAAAAAGGAATTACCCATCTATAAAATTCTTATAACCAGCAAAACACTTCCACAATCCTACCCTTCTGCACCAATAAACAAAACACAAGTTCAGCCTGTTCTCTCCAGGCCTGTTTTCCACCAGGAATGCACTGCCTTATGAGCCCTCAGTGTTCTACAATTCAAATGTTATTTTAAATTGTTTGAGTGGTTGAGATCGTCCTTAGTAAGGATCAGAGGCAGCACCACAGACCTTCCAAGACAAAATATAAAAAGAATGAAAGTATTGAGGCGATTTAAAGCAGCAAAAACCCATACCTAAAAAGGCTGAGCGAAATTATTTGAAAAAAAGTGCTATTAGTAAATAAAACTGATATATGGCTGAATTAGTCTCAAACGGGACTCTCATCACAGCAAACTGAATGAAACCTGACTCTTCATTCCATGTAAAGCCTTGTTTTCCCAGAAGCTGAAATCCAAGTCAATTGACTGGGTCATCTGTAAAAGAAAACCTAAGCGAGCCAATCAGGGGTGTCTGCCCCAACAAAGGCTGTTCTGCCTGTACACATGACGGAACTCTGTTCCTTCAGCGCAGGCATTTCTCGATCATGAAGTGCAAAGTAAAGCCTAGAGGGTCATGTTGTTGTTGACTGCCTTTGAGTCCAGCATGACTCATAGTGACCCTATAAACAAAAGGCCTGAAGCCCCTCTAAAACTACCAACATTTATCAAAGTTCATGGGGTTTCTGGAGACATGTTATTCAGGAAGTGAATGCCGCTCCTGCTTCCAAAGACGCCATACACAAATGTCATATTGTGGGAATTTTGTTTTTAATAGATATTATCAAGCCTTGGCCAAGAGTTTAGAGACAAAGGCCCCTGATATAAAAAACCCAAAAACAAAAACATCATCTTCCTAATCTCTGTCATGTTCAAGCCCAATATGGTAGTTACTGTGACAACCCATCTCCTTGAGAGTCTTCCTCTCTTTTGCTGACCCTCTACCATATGATATTTCTAAGGACGGTTCCTTCTGAAAATAGATCCAAAGTAAGTGAGAAGACATTTCACCACCCTTCCCTCTAAGCAGCACCCTGGTTGCACTTATTTCAGGACAGATTTGTCTAGCCTTTTGGCAGTCTATGAGATAGTCAATGCTCTTTGTCAACATCACAGTTCAAAGGCATTGATTCTTCTTTGGTCTGCCTTGTTGTCGAACTTTCAGATACATATGAAGCAACTATCATTGCTTGGATAGGGCACACCTTAGTCTAAACTGACAACCTTGCTCTTTAAGACTTTGACTAGGTCCTTGACAGAATGTGTTAGGTTTTTTTGTTGTTGTTTTTTAACTTTTTGACTGCTGCTACCTCGAATGTTTACTGTGAATCCAAGTAAAATTAAATCCTTGACAATGTCAATCTTTTCTCCATCTACTATGATGTTGTTGCTTATTGGCCCAATGGTGAGGATTTTTATTAATGTTGAAAAGGAACTCATATTGAAGGCTATAGTGTTGGATTTTTCAGGAATCAGTGCTTCAAGTCTTTCCTACTTTCTGTAAGCAAAGTTGTGTCATCTGCATAACACAGGTTGCTAATGAGTACTCCTCCAATCCTGAGGTCTCATTTTCCTTCATATAGTCTAACTTCTTGAATTAATTGCTCAGCATCCAGATTGAATAAAGGATACAATGGTGATGTACATCTTTCCCGAGTTTAAACCGTGCAGTGTTGCCTTGTTCTGTTCTGACAACTGTTTCCTGATCTACATCTATGTTTCACATGAACACAATTAAGTATTTTAGGACTCTCATCCCTATTCTCTTACATGTTACTGTTGTTAGGTGTCACTGAGTTGAGTATGACTCATAGAGACCCTATATACTCTCATCACACTTATTCAGTCTGTTTGCTGAGTAAATAAGTCAAGAAGTTTGACTATATAAAAAAGAGTGTGACATGAGAATTCAAGGAAGATTCATCAACAATCCATGACACGCAGATGACACAACACTACTTGTTTAAAGTGAAGAAGACTTGAAGCACTTACTCATAAAGATCAAAGATTATAAACGTCTGTATAAAGTACATCTTAACATCAAGAAAACAGAAGTCATCACAACTGACCGATAAGCAAAATTATGATAAATGAAGAAAAGATTAAAGTTGTCAAGGATTTCATTTTCTTAGCTATACTATCAACACCCATCTTACACTGGGAGAATCTGCTGCAAAAAATCTCTTCAAAGTATTAAAAAGCAAAGGTGTCATTCTGAAGATGAAGGGGCCACCTGACCCAAATCATGGTGTTTTCAATCACATCATATGTTTTTGAAAACTGGGCAATGACTAAGGAAGATGGAACAGAATTCATGCATTTGCAGCACTGTGTTGACAGTGAATAAACACTGAATGAATACTGAATATACCATTGTGTGCCAGGAGAATAAACAAAGGTGTCCAGAGAAGTCCAGCCACAGTGCTCTGTGGACGCAGACAGCAAGATTTTGGCCTCATAATCTGGGCATGTCATCAGGAGGAACTGGTATCTGGAGAAGGAAATCATGCTTAGTAGAGTCAGTGAAAAAGAAAAGCCTCAAAGAAATGGACTGACAAAGGCTCCAACAAGGGCTCAACCTGGGCAATGCCTGTGCGGATGGCAATGCTCTGGGCAGTGTTTCACTCTGCCGGACCTAGAGTTGCTGAGTGGAAGCAGACTTGTCAGCACCTAACAACTACAGCAACAACACAATGTCTTTGGGACAAAAAGTAACTGTTGAAATATTCTAAGTTGTTATTTACACTTTCTCCACATCTTTCTAGAATTTAAATATTCTTCCTGTTGTTCAGTGCACATAAGAGCTCTCCTTCATCTGGCAGAATCCTGTGTGTGGTACTGAGAACTTCCCTAAGACTAAAATATCAGTCCTTTCTACATTTCTCAGGCTAGCCAATTTCCCCCACAAATAGAAGACGATACTCTAGTAAGTATAAAATCAAACATATACATCAAGTCTGTTTTTAAGATAAATATCTGAAAAACATTCTGACAATGCAATTTCACATGGAGAAATTTCCTAATTTTCAGTCTCGTCTTACTGATATTTCCAATCTTCTGAGATCATGTTCACTTATAGAGACAATTTCATTCAAAAACAAGCAAATCTACCTCTGCTTAGCCCTGTACTGCTAAGAGATTTTCCTCAGGTCAATGGACAGGAAGTATGAATACCAAGATTCATTTCTTTACTTATATTTGCATGTTTCCAACCATATGGGGGGGTGTGTCTGTGTGTCTGTGTCTGTGTGTGTGTGTGTGTGTGTGTGTGTGTGTGTGTGTGCTCATCCCTTAAATTTCACGAAAGTCCTGACAAAAGAATAAAAAGCGGTCTCTTCATATAATAAATAAAAGAATGAGGAAAAATGTAATCATTTGTTAAAACTTGAAAAAAATTTATCTGAACATCCTGATTATTTTCTTCTTCCTTTTAAAAAACTCTTCATTAAAGAAAATTTGAAACACACACTAAAGAAAACAAAACAGTGGATTCATTACTGTTGTTACAGTTGTTGACTGCCATCAAATCATGTGTGACTCATAGTGACCCAATGAACAAAAGGCCTGAAGCCTTTCTATAACTATTGGCATTTATCAAACCTGATACAGTGTCCAGAGGCATGTTGTTTAGGAAATAGATGCCACTCCTGATTCCAAACTTGTCTGAAACTGGGAACTCCATCAAACGCTGTCCACCATAAGTAACGATTATGGCATTTGACACCCCAATGGCACAAGGATCAGCATCCCAGCAACTTGAAGTTACTTCACTACAGCATATTGACAGAAGAGAGCTGTACCATTAAGAAGAATGTTCCTCCAAAATACATTAAGTCACCTGCGACTAGCTTAAACAATTACCAACTCATGGTCAATCTTGTTTTATCTCTCCACCCATTATCACCACCATCCATAAAAAATTAAGGTCAGAACTTAAAATAATGAAAGGCAGATATCATAATGTTCTGAAATCTAATACAGTAAGAATTTAATTTTGGTTACAGGATAAAAAGGATGTACAGGAATTTACTAATATAGTCTTTTTTATGAAGATAGAATCTATAAGCAAAATAAAAGTATTAAAAAGACAATTCCTAACAAAAAGTTCTCTTAGCCCAGAGGCCTTGGGAAGTTCACCTTTCTGTCTCTGCCAAATTTCTCCATTTCAATCCTCAAGCCTGATGTGCCCTTCTTTTACTGTAGCTGTACAAATTCCAGAATGAAAGATCAAATTGTCTCAGAAAAGCACAATGGGCCAATAGTGATTTTTTTTAATACTGAAAAAAAATAGTTAAGTGTAACTTTCTTTAAAATTCTAAGAACCATGTCTTGAAAAATATTCCCAGGGGTAACCAAAGGGCTCAACGCCATAGGTATTCTGATAGAATCTCTAGACAGAATTTATTCTAATCCAAATAAAATATTTGCAGCAGAAAAGGGGATATAATATTCTGCTCAGCGTGATGCAGTCACTTTCAGAATCCAAGAAACAAAACAAGAAAATGACTTTTCCTTGATTCTCATATTTTTCCCTGGTTATCTCTGGATTTCTGTTGCTAAATATGTGAAGGCTTACATGAGGATTTCAAGACAAGAATGAGCATTCGAACCTTTGGTGACACGTAGCAGTACACCTTCTTTGGTTTCTTCACTTTCTCTGGGGTGTAGCACTCAAAGGGTGAATCTTCATCTTCCTCCTCCACAGCAGTGGAAGGCCAGCTTTGAAAAGACCTCACGTGCATGGGGGGAAGGTGCCAGTTGGTGGCATTATACAAATAGACCTCAAAGTAAATACTAACCCCTGAGGTGGATACATTGTGCTCAACAATGTTCTTTTCATTCTCTGAATCAAAACAAGGAATAAGGAGTCAGGACATGTAGAGGAGGATTATCTATTCCAAGCCCCTTAAGATCCTAAAAGCTCTTAAATAAAATAGTTGTCTTAAATACATCTGTCAAGGTGGTCAGAAGAGTACAGGCGCAAAAGGAATAAATTTCCCAGCAATAAGACCAAATCATAGCTTTTCTTTCAACTCAACACTTAGGACAATAATGTCAAACTTGTCATTATTTATTGGTTGGTTTTGGTATAAAATGCAGGCATGGAAACAGCCATGGGAATGCAGGATGAGTAGCAAGAACACCTGGCAAGTCGGCCTGTTGGTAGTCAGTGACTTCTCAAAGGAGACACCAGTGCTCTCCTCTTCTTGAGGACTGAGCTATAGGACGAAATCAGAACATCATTCAACATGCACAATTTTTCAGATTTCTAAGGCAATCTCCTTTGTTCAAAGAATTTTCCTATCTCTGATTTAATAAACCTCACTATTAGTAAGTACTGTCCAATGACAACAAAGGGAACAAGAGAGGAAAGTGCATTAGGAAGGGTGAGAATGAGGGAGAAAGGAAGCTAGTCTCCCGAGCACACAGAGAACACTTACCTCGTGAATGGACAAACTGTAATTGTGCTCATCTCTCAAGGACATGGAATCGTTTGTACGGTTGTCATACTCATCCCGGGGCACTATTTGAAGGGTGTGTGGCTGGCCACAGGTCAACACAAGAGTAGAAAAATGGCACGCAATTTCAGTCTTGGAAGGAATTACTATTCCTAGAATAAAAACAATGAAATTAAGTTATTTCTAAAAGTTTTCTATAGGGTACAAAGAGCTGCTCAATCATTCAGTCCTTAAGAACTGGACCTCATAAGGATGGCAGACCTTAAAAAGAAGTGCTGATTTTTGTGTATGGAATGAGGTATGGGTCTTGTTTGAGTTTTCTACAGGTAGTTTTCCAATTTTGCCAGCACCATTTGTTAAAAAGGTTATCATTTCCCCACTTAAATGATTTCATCTCTTTGTAAAAAATCAATTGATCATAGGTAGATGGGCTGATTTCTGGATTTTCCGTTCTATTCCTTTGATCTATGTGTATGTTATTATACCAGTACCACACTGTCTTGACCACCATGGCAGTGTAGTAGGTTTTGAAATCAGGGAGTGAGATGCCTCCTACCTTGTTTCTCTTTTTAAGGAGTGCTTTGCTTATACGGGGACTCTTTCCATTCCAAATGAAATTGGAGAATGCCTTTTCCATGAAGAATGGAATTGGTATTTGTATTGGGATTGCATTGAATGTATATGGATCATGGACCTAGGACTAAAAGCAAGGACTATACATTTGATTAAAGAAAAGCATGGAAGGACTCTAGAAGTCCTAATCCACAAGGTAAACAGTCTTCCAAGCATCCTGAAAAATCTACAACCAGGAGAAGATAAAATAGATGAATCGAACTTCTAAGAATCAAATCCCTATCACATCTAATGTTAGCTTTTTTATTTTAGTTGGGTCTGTTGTGATGTTACCTGATTCATCTCTTATTCGGATTATTTGCGTTTTCTCTCTCTTTT